GAAACTTACAAGTAAATTATGTCAATTTGTCTATTCATTAAGGGTTCTCTGAATACATAAAAATACTTTTAAAAATTTAAACATGCTTTTGTTAGATACATATTTGAATCTACACTCACACTCATGATACAATAGCTTGTAACATTAGCCCTTTCTTTCTCTAGCAACAAGGCCTCTATAGGGAATGTCAAATTGTTGCTGGATAGACAGTTGTTTCTCCACGTGTATATGTTAGCAATTGGCACAAATATTGATCTACGAGCCTAATCCTTTAAGTCGATATATTTAGAAACAAATGTGTTGTATTGCCTCAGTTCACAGCATAAATATTGCCTTTGATATGACTTATGATCATACATTAATTAAATTATTTTCTACTAGGGTGACGCTGATATGATTTGTGGAGGGCCTCCATGCCAAGGTATCAGTGGTTTTAATAGGTTCAGAAACAAGGAAAACCCTTTGCAAGATGAAAAGAACAAACAACTTCAAGTTTTCATGGACATAGTGGAGTACTTGAAGCCAAAGTATGTTTTGATGGAGAATGTTGTTGACATTGTAAAGTTTTCTGAGGGATTTCTTGGACGATATGCCTTGAGTCAACTCATTCGTTTAAATTACCAAGTCCGAATGGGAATGATGGCAGCAGGTGCTTATGGTCTTCCCCAGTTCCGTATGCGTGCTTTCTTCTGGGGTGCACGTCCTAATGAAGTGAGTTTTGTTTCTATATTTAGTACAGTAAATCAACTAAAATCATAATTAGGCCAAACACACAAAAGTTATAAACTTTGTTTAATCGAATGCTTGCCTCTTCCCAGAAATTGCCGCAATATCCACTGCCAACACATGATCTGATTGTAAGAGGTGTTATTCCTCTTGAGTTTGAGGTAACAAAATCCTTTCTCTTTGCTTTTATTTCTTACAAGCTTCCATGTTCTCACAGTATGAATTTATATGCAGAATAACACTGTTGCTTGGGCTGAAGGGAAAAAACCAGAGTTGGAAAAGAAACTTCTACTACAAGATGCCATATCTGACCTTCCGCCTGTATGCACTAAGATTTTTTGAAGTTACCTTCTTTTTTTCTCTGCTTTGCCATTTCATTGACAAGTAAATGTGATATGTTTATCTGACCCATTATGCTTATAGGTTGGAAATTATGAGAATCGAGATGAAATGGACTATTACAACGATCCTAAAACCGAATTTCAGCGATTCATCAGATTAAGCAGGGAGGGTAGGTAGACATTACATATTTGCTATTTATTTACATTTTATGACCTCTTGCGATCTCATTTCTTTATTTGTCCTGTAGAGATGCCTGGTTCTTTGAGAGCAAAATCTGGAAAACATTTGCTCTATGATCATCGTCCGCTTCAGCTCAATACAGATGATTATCAACGTGTTTGCCGGATTCCGAAAAGGAAGGTATTACATTCGCATCTCAATTCTTTCAGTCATGTATTCTATTAGATGCTTCTTCACTCTTTTGCAATGGCTATTGGCTATCAACTTTATTCATCTCTTTTGCATTCCATTGATTTAGGGGGCAAATTTCAGAGACTTACCAGGTGTTCTAGTTAATACTGATAACAAGGTGCAATGGGATCCTAATGTGGAGAGGGTTTACTTGGAGTCCGGGAAACCATTGGTATTCTTTCCATTTCGAGCTCTTGTTAATATTCTCTTCTATGTTCCATGGCATATTTGTGTCGGATCGATACATATGTTTGACATTCACACTTGAAATCAAGTAACATAGTTAAATATGTATCTCTTCTCGATGCCCATTTGTTGTGTTGTATGACATTTTCGTAAACAATTACAGGTCCCTGACTATGCCATGAGTTTTGTTGGTGGATCATCAAGCAAGTGAGTTGTTGTTTTTCATGTATTTTCTTTGATAAATAAATTGTTTGAATCTAATAGCCTCACTTATTATGGAATTTTGTAGACCATTTGCTCGTCTATGGTGGGATGAAACTGTACCAACAGTGGTCACCAGGGCTGAACCTCATAATCAGGTTATGATTCAAGCATACACGCATTATGCACTTCATAATTGACTGAGATGCAATGGTCTGATCGTCTTAACAGGCAATATTACATCCCGAACAAGATCGTGTCCTCTCGGTTCGCGAGAACGCAAGGTTACAAGGCTTCCCTGATTACTACAAGCTTTTTGGCACTGTCAAGGAAAGGTACATTTAAACGGAAGAATGCTCAAAATACTCATGCTCGAGTTCAGTTCGGAGAACGCTCAAAAGTTGTTGAACTACGTTATGATTTCTGAATTCGAATTTGTATGTTGTGATAGGTACATTCAAGTTGGGAATGCAGTTGCGGTGCCGGTTTCTCGAGCTTTAGGATATGCCCTGGGATTAGCTTACCGAGGTGGTGTTTCGAGTGATGAACCACTAATGAAACTTCCTTCCGGGTTTCCTAACATTGTGGAGAAGGTTTCTTCAGACTCCTCTCAAGATAATTCTTAACCCTTTTCTTCAAATGTTATTTAATCTTATTAAATTTGTATCGGATGATAATGTATAACTAACTCAAGGAAGCTTGAGTTGAGTTATGGATTGAAATTTTGTTTACCGAACTTGTTAATATTTTCATTAATATTTTCCTAACATACTATTGTCATGCTTAGAGGGTTGTCGTGGATGAAGTAAATTAAATTAAGAGGATTCGTTAATGATCTTATGAATGTGAGCTTTGATGATTGATAGTGACAAACTATAACATTTAGAGGTGAGTGTTTCAACGAATCGAGTTGAGTTAAAAATTTTTGAGTTGATGAGTTTTATTTTATAATTTGAACTTAATTTAATTTTTTTTGAGTTGAGTTGAATTTATGAAATTTGAGTTGTTTGAGTTTTTGTTTAAATTTAATTGTAAATATGTATGATATTGTAATACTATTTGATTTTAATTTAAATGTTTTTTTATAACAATATATAGATCTTTATACTTATTCATATGTGATTTATAGATTATACAAAGTTGAGGTATTTGATTTAAAATTGAATAATTTACTAATTACTAAAAATTTTGAGTTATTTAAGTTGTTATTTGAGTTATTTGAATTTTTTTTATAATATGATTTGAATTTGAAATTTTTTGGAGTTGAGCTAAGTTTATGAAATTATTTTCAAAGGTAATTCGAGTTAAGTCAAATAGATCGATTTTTTGAGTCGATGTTCATCCCCACTTTCTGTTTTCTCTGCAATATCGTAAGATTGCTGCTTGTCTTGAGTTGATCCTGCAAAACTTATGTTAAATTATTAGTCCTTCAAAACTGCTTCGTTCGATCCTGCATATTGCCAAATGTTGCTGTTTTTTTTAACATAGACCATAATATATGCATTACAGAAAATATCAGCGTTTACAATGGCAGCAATCATGGGAGAGTTGCATGCTCTAAATACAAAGGCTGAGCAGTCACTGATGCAAAATTAGCTAAAGCATGCGCCGCTCCATTTGCTTCCCGACGAGCATGACAGATAGAAATGCTGGGATGAGAATCAACCAAATGTTGCTATTGTATATCCATCCATTGGCTAAGATGTAAAGATGCAGGGGTGAGCAAAATTTGACTCAAAAAATTAATTTGTTTAACTTGACTTCATTTGACTCGATTGGCAATTTTATAAACTTGGGTTGATTTGAAAAAAAAAATTCAAATTTAAGTTGAGTCATAAAATAGAACTCAAAAAACTCGAAATTTTTACTAACAAGAATACCTCAATTGACTTCTACATTACTGAACGACATCCCAAGTAATCGTGGTGTGCTATGAACTCCTTTTCTGCCTAGAAACTTTTCCATGGATTCCTTTATTAAAGCTTTTGTTAAGCTCTCGGATTTGAAAGTTCTAACGATCGGAAGAACGTTGAACGATAATAACACAAGTGAAAGGAAGCTCGATTTCTAAATATGGTTTACTTGGCTGGTTTAAGTGCCACTTTCTTAATATGTTTTTTTTACTGTTAACAAGCCAATATAGAAGAAAACTAGTGCAGATACGACAGCTATGAATTTTGTTATTCTTCAACTTAAAAACATTTTTTAATAGAAGATTGTTATTTGTTACACCCTAATTCACTCACTAACCATCAATGTGAAGAAAACATGTTGGTTTCAGTTGGATGAAACTTTTAAAGGCATGTCGTCACGACAATTACGAAAAGATGCCAAGTCTCAGGTTAACACATGTTTCTGTCCACATGACTTCCATGAATGCTCATACGGACAAGAGAGCTATTGGCTGCAAATGGCTATTCAGAATCAAGAAGAGTGCAGACAGATCTGTTAACTGATTCAAGGTTCATTTAGTGGCCAAGGGTTATTCACAGGTTTCGGGATACGATTTTGCAGAAACTTTCAGTCCCGTAGTATAGTTATTTACTGTTCACGTGCTGTTGTCCTTATCAGTGACAAGTTCATCAGGTGAACGTTAATAATGCCTTCGATCTGACCGACGATGTATACGTGGAGCAGCCAAGAGGTTTTGCAGAGTTACATAGTTTTCTTCAAGTATTGGGATTCAAGTCCTGTAAGACTAGTGAAGACAGAAGAAGGTGATCCCACTAAGTGATTCAACAATATCTTCAAGTGGTCCTCTTGGCATGGTTTTTCATTGCCTCATTCGATACTCGGTTCATAACCGATTAGCTTAGGTAAGTGTGGATATGTGGACATAGATAATATTTATTTCCGAGTTATGTTTCTTAAATGAAAACATCGATAATATTCCTTTCCATGTGCAGTATATAATTTTTTCTGGTTTATATATATATATATATATATTGATATGTTTGATGAAGTTTGGAGAGGAACTATACATAAGTATGGGTTTGGCTTATCATACTGTTATGGATATGAACGATTTGCATGCTGTTATGCATATGAAAGACATAACCTACCTGTACTATTTGATCTTCTAGAATGGTAATGGATGGCATTTGCAGTATTCTTGCTCTTTCCTTGTTTTTTTCCAGGTTTTCGATGAGTTCTGCTCGAGTTTGCGGTGTGCCTAGAGTTGTCCTTGGGTCGGGTTGGGACGGACTCTGTGGATTATGTCCTTGGCAATTGTTTTGAACATATGCAGTACTTGTTTCACCAAAAAGGTTGATGGTGGTATGCTTCCTGAAAAAACTGATGTAAGTATGACGGTGAAGGTCCTTAAATTACTTGGCGCAATGCTGGATATGGCGGTGTTGTATGTGAAAAACAGTGAAATCAAACAAATCTGAAGCTCCAACTGCATTGGGAATTCGCTTGTGAGGATGTTGATCATGAACAACGACATCGCGAAACCGAGAGAGTTGGAAGCCACAAATAGCACGAAAGATGTTGTGTCGTTTGTTCCCATGATGGAAGTCCCTGCTAAGTGTGATCCATGGAGGCCGGTGGCATTGTTCTGGTTTGTAAAATAACTATCTTCCCATGTTCCACCCGGAGGATTGAGTCCAACCTGGAAGGTTGCAGTGGCCACCAAAACAGCTATAACCAATAAAGTATTTCGAGCTTCACTCGGAGAGTCTCGGCCTTTCTTAAACTTGAAATACTCCGCCATGCTTTCGAACCACCATCGACTTCTTCGTCGCGTTCTTGGTTGGTCTGGTTCTGGATCGTGAGACGCCATGTTTTCATCCCACCTTCCATTTCTCCGTTGTGTTCTTGGGTGGTCTTGTGGTTCTGGATCATGAAATTCATGGGAAGGACTTCGATGAAGCGTAACATCTCTAGCACTCACTAATCCAGCTTGTCGAAGAATCTCTGCAATTTCTCTATCACCGGCTTCACTAGGAAACATCTGAAGCACATCCATGGCAGTTAGACCAGTTCTGTTTGTTGCATTTATGTCTAACAAGCCTGGACTTGTTGTTCCACTTCCGAGTACTAATTCTATCACCTGAAACAACAATAAACATTCACTAAATGTAGATTTTCATGAACCTATTTATTCTATTAACATTGTAATCGAAATAATAAATACTTGCCTGTCGTTGTTTTTTCCAGGTCGCTAAATGGAGAAGTGTATTGCCTTGCTCATCCTTGAGATTCAAGATGTCTTCTTTCTTCATCCTTACAATCCAAGCAACCATAACCTTAATTGCCTCAAACTGGTTGTTCTTTATTGCAAGGTGCAGAGCAGTCTCCTTTTGAACTGTCACACCCTCGATACATTCTGCATATCTCCCAAGCATTTCATTGATGACATCAACCCTCCCTTTCATGGCTGCAAAATGGAAAGGCGTCTTCTTCTCTCGTCCCGCTACGCTGCATAGTTTCGGGTCGATATTCATAAGCTCTCTCACGATTTCAATATGCCCATTTGCAGCTGCCATATGAAGAGGGCTAAAACCATCTTTGTTTACTTCTTTGGCATACTCAGGTTTTAGTTTCAAGATCTCTGTAACAAACCCAACATGCCCTTCAGCTGAAGCAATATGTAAAGGATTTTGATTGGTATAAAGTGAAATGGTGTGAAGCATCAAAGGGTTTTCTCTTAATAACTTGTGTAAGTCGTCGATGTTTCCGGTTAAAGCAGACTCGAATAACCTTGAGTCCATTTTTAAGATGCAAAGCAAAGCTTTTTGTTGATGATTGATGGAAGGAATGCTAATCTTCTTTAGTGAACAATCACAACTTATCTTCAAAAGTTTCTTCATTAAAAAGCAATTAAGGGTTGAAATACTCAGGCCAATGTAAAACTTTGACCTTACTTCGTTTATATATATTAAACAATTAAGGGTGAAATATTCAGGGAAAATGTAAAACTTTGACCTTACTTTATATATATATGTGTGTGTGTGTGTGAGTGTAAGCAAAAGCTTCTGCAGATGACAAGTCAGTCATGTTTATCTTCAATGATGTAATGGTTGTACAGGTTCTTGATGCGTGTGATTGAAGCAAATGACCATTCTTATGGTCAAACTTCTTAATTTAGTTGTTTATAGTTAAAAAAACAGAACTGATAAAGAAATCTCTTACAAGGCAATCAAGGAATGCTATATATAAAAAAATTTAAGCTGACATTAGCATGCATCATGTGTAAATACCAGACATGTAATAAACTTATATAATTTACCAAGAAAAATGGTCTAAGAAGTTAGGAACATGGAAGAACATCATTCAGATTTCTGTCTGGTTTTATGACACTGGATTCTGTTATCAAAACCAGTAACGAACTTCATCAATTATAGTATGCAGATGATAAGTCTGCTATGTTTTATTTTCCTTCGACGATGAGATTGCAGCGCGGGTTCTTGATACCATGTAGTCGAAGCAAATGATTGAATAACAAGGGGATTCCCTTCAAAGAAAGACTGGTTTGGATCAATTTATAACTACTTTCCAAATATCTACTTGTATCAAGTAATAAAATTGATCATTCTTGTGGTCAAACCTCTTAATTTAGCTCTATCAAGTAAGAAAAAGTCACATTTCTGTGTGACGTGTGACCATGTGGGATATCTTTGCAATCTGATCTTACAAGATAATAATGGATGACATTGGCAGTAGTCTTGCTCTTTCCTTCCATGTTTTTCAGGGTTTACTTGAGTTCTGCCCGAGTTCGCGATGTGCCTAGAGGGATCCATTGGCCTGGTCAGGCAGGACTTTGACAATAATGTCTGAAAGAAGTTAGTTCAGCAGATGCAGTACTTATGATGATGGAAAGCCTTATGCTTCTCGGTGCAATGCAAGTCATGGCAGTTTTGTAAGAGAAAAGCAATGCAGCCATACAAACCTGAAGCTCCAATTGCAGTGGGAATTTGCTTGTGAGGATGTTGATCATGAAGAGAGGCATCGAAAAGCCTATCGGCATCGAAAATTATCTCAACTAAACAAGATGAAACAGGGAATAGATTGAAACTGATGGGACAAAGGCACATCCTTTTGAGCAATTTTTACATTTATCATCATATATATATTTCTCTTTGTTCATAATTTCTTGAACGGCCCCCATGGCAGACTAAGTACACAAGATTTCGTGAGCGATCCTACACCAGGACTACAAATATTTGCCTTAAAGGAGGAATTGAATCTAGTCAAATGGTCTACTAATATATTCAGCAACAAAGTGAAAAAAATTGCAAAGAACACGTGGTTGACTGAAACTCCAGGGGCAATGTCATACGCAATAGTATCATGCTTAGAGCCCCGGTATAGATTCAAGGTTGTATTGTTTAGAAGTTGGAGTCCCAACCTGTTGATTGTCCTGAACTTTTGGCTTGTTTGAGGCCTCGAAATTATGCAAGTAGGCATAGGAAGCTGTCAGACTAGATGAAAGACCAGGATTGCTTATTCTGCTAGTCAGGAAGCGACGGATTAGACCTCTAAGGAATGGGGCCATGGTATCCGGCTCATGTTCTAGGTAGTACATGATTCCTCCCATGCATGCACAAAATAAGACCACCTGTAACAGATTGGAAGCATCAAGTAAGGAACCAAATTAATACGAAGACAATTGACTCGGGTAACAATGTAATGATGCAGTTGTAGATACATCGAGAACAAAGTTGGCTATCAATCTCTAATTACGGGCACAAAATTTCACTTAGTCCGACATAGAAGCTATCATGAGAAAGAAAACTACCTCAGCATTTTTAACATCAGGAAGCAGGTGCCGGTTTACTAAAATATTCCACCATGATTCTCCAGCTCGTGGAAGAACATATAGAGCAAGTTCACTGCGTCTAGTTTTCTTCTCCAGTAATATTGAAAGACCCGATAAAGCACCAGCAATCCAATATACAAGCTTGTGGTCTGTCAATGCAATCTTTCTATGCAAGCATATAACAGCCTTGAATAGCACATGCAAAATGTTCAAGGAACATATAATACCGATTTTAACAACAGGGAACAGTGAATGAGAAACAAGTTACCTGAAAAATTCCAACAAATGCAGACAAGAAAGATGTTGATTGAACAGCACCTTTAACAGCAAGCCAACAGCCACGGGCAGGGGTATCCATAAACTAGATGCGTATCGTGATGATGCAAAATAAACAAACAAAAAACATGGAGGATCAATTCCATAAACTAGTGTGCGTGTAATATCTGCTCAAATGGAGCAAAAGAAGCTTGCAAAATCAACTACAAGAAATTGTCTCGGTTACAAAAGGATAAACTGTCAATTTATTCTCCCATTTTACCCCGCATAACAGCTTTCAATCCTCCTATAGGAAGATTAACAGAGAATAATACCCATCATTCCCACTCCATACCACGATTTACTAAAACAGATTTTGCTAAAGCAGATTGACTTTTACATTTTAGTGTGTGATTTTTACTAAACCAGATTGACTATTTTATTTTTCAAAAAAACTGCTTCTTTTTTTGGAGAAGGTTACACACAGACATACATGTTTGGCCAAAAAGTAAAGCACACACAGATAGGTAAGCCCATTCTGGTCTTGTTTTGTTTGCTTCTTTGGTATAGAGCTAAAAATGCATCAAGGCCATTATTTTATTGTTTGCTTCATTGTTATAAGGGAGGCATATGAAGGAAGCTCAAAAACAAAATACAACACCAAGGTCCCTTCATTTTCATGGATGAAGAAAGGAAAACCAATATGTAATGCAAGATATACCTTTTGTAGGTGCAGAACCACAAATGGCACAAAAGTCAAAGAGAAGTATAGAGGGAATGTTTTCCTGAATGTAGCTGATGCTGCCTTGGCATTGTGCACTAGACAAGAATTTGTGTCTGGATGAATAACAGAACAAGGAATAATTGACGGGAACTCTCCCAACTTCACATTATTGGACTTCCTTCGGCTATTTATGTAGGCTGATATAGATGCAACATCCACTGGCCCACCTCTACAATTCTCCTTTACAGCATTATATACAGGAGCAGCAACAGGACCAGTCTTCTGAATAAAATCTTTATATGATTTAGGCAAGCTTTCAGGACGCATCACAAAGGCGTACATAACCTGGTATGAGCATCAATCAGTGAAATCGGATGAAGAAACTACATTGACCAAACCCTACTAAGTGAAAAGAAGATATGAAAGCACAATAAATTCTATCATTTTTTCACCTCAGAAGCAAATTCCAATTTGTTAAAAATAGAATCACTAAATATTAACTTTTAACTTGGAAAAATACACTATGAAGCAAAAGAATCGGAGGTAAAGTTCACACAGTTTCATAAGAACAAAACAGAATTAGTTACACTTCCACAATGTTACATATATATAAGTTATATTTAGCAGCGTTTCTCTGGAATTTAGCTTGGGCTTCTGTTGGCACCTTTAAATTACTAAACTGAGCAATTCCTAGTGTTATGAATTTTTATCATCATCAACTGATGTACAAAGATGAATATCTGGTCCAAAAGTATAGTACGGACATCTAGATACAAAAATCATTATGAACTTCATATTACCTGGGCGCAAGCTAAAGAAAAGAGCAGGGAGTCCCCATGCCTCCAATGGCTTCCCCATAAGTGAAACTTATTTTTCGACTTTGCAGAATTATAAGCACACTGAGGAGTAAAACAAAATATTAGACAGTAAAACAGGGAACTAGAACCCACAATGTTGAATCGGTTTGCAAATTTACTATTTAAAAATGCATTCATTTACCTGAGCTACTCTAGCCAAAATACAATGCAAGTGTTCGCCTTTGATTTGAATCATCTAAAGCTAAAATAGACAATCCCGCAATGGAACCTGATAAAATTCTGTTCCATCACCACCTTAAATAATGTCAAGGATAAGATAGGGAAAAGGATCTGGCATGCATAGAAAGTTGTCAATTATTTCAACTCACCATTTACCATAGTGAGATACTCATCAAATGCAAATCAGTCAATTATAGCAAACTTACGAATTCATTGGCGTCTCTTTCTTTCTACGTTTTCTCAGTAAACATCGAAGCGCATGGTATGAACCAGTGAAGCCACCAAAAAGTAAACCAATGCGGCATGCTTCCTCTCTCACAATCAAATCTTTCTCCGAGACAAGTTGCTGGAAAACCAAATTCAGCATCTTTAATATCACATTTCAGCGCATTCTTACATTGATAATTCCTAGAAATGACAAATTGTAAAACCCAAAACCCGAGAAATTTTACCAACAATAATCTAATAACATTTTACAATAAATGGTCTCAAAATCTAATCCAAAAAGTACAGTGAAAAAATTTTATCCTTCAAAGAAGACGGTGTACATAATCATGCAATAAACCCATTTAATCAAACACTTTACACATATGAAAGGAAATACAAAATACATTGCCAAAATAAATTATAGAATTTACAAAACAACCAAGTCAAAAGGAAAACCTTTTATGAAACTGACTTAAAAAGAACCCTAACCTTGAGATCAAGAAGCGAGGAATAAGACTTTCCTCTGGCGAGCTTGAAACCGCGAAGAAGAATCCCGATACCTACTCTAACACCATAAGAAAGGAGAAAGCTTTGGCAAAGATTGCCAATGGCGTTGGCCACGCATGAGTCATCAGCGTGGTCACACGGAGGGCAATCGCCGCACGCGGCCGTCCTCTGACGTCTATGGAGCTCGTCCACGGCTTCCCTCAAACGATCCTCCGCCTCACGCAACCGTCGCTCCGCCTCAGCGTTGTCCGCCAATAACCGCGCCGAGGAATCGGAGTTCTCGGAGAGAGACGGCATTTCGGATTCAAAGTTGCCGTTGTTTCTTTTGGCATATGCAATTTAAGAGATACCGGAAAACGGAAAGAGAGACGGGTAGAAATTAATTATAAATAGTATACTTCCAAATAATAACTTATCAAGAAAATAAAATAATATTAATTATAAAATTAAATTAAGATAATAATTTCCTATGTAATTATATCAAACTTTTTATTAATTATAATATAATTAAAAGATAATATATTAAATTGTCTAAATCCGAAATACTTAAAAGAATTCACTAATCTCTGTTATTGAGATCATTATTTAAATTCAAATATTTAATTCAATTATACTCATAAATTATAATAATTAATTAAATATATATCATCCATTTTATTAGATGTCTAAAAATCTTTCAAGCATCCTCACTGCTAAATAATATCATTTTTTTCGGAATTTATGAGTTCGAACAATCATATATGTAAAGTATCCGTATGTTATTAATAACCAAAAAAATATAAATAGATATTATATTATCATCATACTAAACTATTAAAAAAACAATAATTCAAACTTTTAATAAAAATAAATTAACATTAATTTGAAACAATTTAAATTTAGAAGAATTCAAATACGAAATTAACTTAAAATAAAATAATAAAAAATAAAAACTCAAATTAGTACAATTTCGGACCAATCCTAATACAACAATTTGTTGGTAAATTTGAGATGAGGTGTGTATCATAAAAAGTTGGGGACAAAATAACTATTAAGTGAAATGTTAGGGACATTTCATGAAATTAAGCCACTAGAGAGTATTGAGTGAATTAAAATATTATTTTGTCCGAAAACGTTGCCCTTAACGAATTATGACAAGATCCCAACTATATTATTGTAACTACACGTTTTTGCCTTTTCTTAAAGTTTAATCCACCTAGTGTCGGTCGGTATAAAAAATAAAGGGTAAAATATACAAACGATCCCCTTACTATATGGTATATTTTGTTTAGTTCTCTAACTATTAAAAATTATAAAATAATCTCTATATTATAAAATATTACTTTATTGAGTCTTCCGACTATTAAAAGTTATAAAATGGTTGTTCGTCTATTTATATGTTCCAAAATCGTCATTTTCTGTTAAAAATTAACAACCGTCTGAGCTGAACGTTAACTTATTAATTGAGATACGATAAAATCCGATTTTAGAATCGTTTGAGTAGTCTTTTATGGATTGACTCTCTGTTTGCATTATGTTACTAAATCGGTGCTTGAAAGTAACGACAGTGCTAATAGACATCATTAAAATATAATTTTATCATATCACAATCAACATGTTATTGTCCAACTTATATAATCATCATTTTTTAACGAAAAATGATGAGTTTGGAACATATGAATATTCAGACGACCATTTTGTAACTTTTAATGTCAATGTGTTCAACTAATTAGTACCCTATAATCGTGAATCATTTTATAACTTTTAATGGTCAAAAGTCTCAACAAAATAATGTCCTATAGTCGAAGACCTTTCTATACTTTACCCAAAAATGAAACGATTTAACGATAATTTAATCTTTTTATAAAATTAAATATTAAATAAACAATTTTCATTTTAAAAATTGAGTGTATAGGTTTCAAATTATATAATTTTATCTCTTTCAATATTTCATTCTAATTATAATTAATGGATTAGTCTAGAGTGTGTGTCATACATCGATATTGACCACTAATTATATATATTGATATCATCATTAATTTTTAAAATATATTTTAAAATCTTTGCTGACTTAAATAATAATTAACCCTATTTATAAATATTATTTTTATATTAAAATAAATCTAAGATACTTTAAGTTGGATTAAAATTAGGGTTTTATTTAATAATATTATAAAAATAAAATTTTGGGAGAGAGTCTATTCATCTTGTGCATTTTTTATTGGGTAGTTATGTTGTACGACAGTTTTAATATATGATTAAATAAAAGATTTCACCGGAAATGCTAATATTTTTTTAATATTTCTAATAAAGCGTTACTTAAAATATTATTTTTATCGAAAATGTTAATTTCGCTAACTAATTTTCGGTAGAATCCAATATTAACATTTTCGATAAAAAAAAAAATTTAGGTAGCATTTTACCGAAAATGTTAAACATTTTAGATAATGTCAAATATTAACATTTTCGATAAAAAAATAATATTTTAAATAAAATTTTACTGAATATATTAAAAAATATTAACATTTGTAATAATATTGTCATACATTAAGAATATCCTACCTGATATATCTTTTTTTTATTATAGACCAGCGACCTTTGTTGTCAGTCTGAGTGATTTCATTAATCCTTGTCGTCGGTAATTTTAAATTGAGAAGCCGCTGCTATTTTCATCAACTTAATAACTTGCTGTAAGTAGTTGTCACCAACTTCAATAGTATGGCAAATTGAAAATTTGTCTTTACCTTTATACCAAGTTAAATGTACGATTTTATTTTAAAATTTTTATTTTTTTATTTTTTAATTATATTCTTAAACTAATTTCTTAAATTTAATTTTCAATATTTCCTTAAGCTCATCGGTTTTACTAAAATGGATACTTTTTTAAAAATTTCTATTTTAATACCTATATTTTTATTTTTTACAATTAATTTTAAAATTACAAGAAAATATAAAACCATTGATAGTTGTTGATGGTTTTACTGATTTCTATAATATTCACTCAGTTTTTCAAAATAAATTATCACATGATCCATACTTTTGTACTCATTTTTTCATTCATTGTATATTCCTAATTTTACATGAACCATGAAGTGTTGCGACATCCCTATTTATTGATAATATTGAAAATTTAACATTTGATCCTTAAGTTTTTTTTTAAATTTTCAATGTAACTCCTTTAAAAATTTTATTAAATTTTATTAATTACATACTCTTAAATTTTTAAAATTAATAATTTGAACTTTTAAAAATTTTAAACCTTTTTAAATAAACTCCCAAAATACTTTGTCAAAGTCAACCACTAAGAAATATCATCATCCGCTGACAAAGTCAACCACTAAGAAATATCATCATCCGCCTCAACAAGAGAACCATTATTCACAAATAATTTAAGATAAACCACGTATTTAATCGTTCAATTATTCATGTAGTTTCATTTTGATCATCAATTTATCTTTTTTTTTTCTTCAAAATCACACTCAACCTTTTGTTTTCATCACTTCTCGTTAACAAATTAACAATTATGAATCAGAAGACTTCCAAGAAGTTCTAAGAAATTAGAAGACTTCCAAGAAATTCCAGTTTTGTGAGAAGTTGCAGTTTGATCTTCCCAGGGAGCTTGCCATTGTTTATCATAGTAAGTAACCTCATCTGCAAGCTTCATCAGGTTATCGAAATCTTCGGATTTCCTCGACCTTATCACACCAATCCCGTTTCGCAAACGAGACTCCCCGTTTGCCCATCCACCACGTAACCCATGAAGAACCCTACCATTGCTGCTCCACCTGCAAACATTACAATCAAACAATTCGAAAATTTTAAAACCAAGATTGAATCGATCCAAAACTAACTCCGATGTATAGTTTTAACGGATGGAGATAGGCATTAACCAGGAATAAACGTTCTCATGAACCATGCCCCCACCAGGGTATGATTGAGCTTCTGAATTGGACTGGTTCTTGGTTTGAACTATCTTCATCTCCAAGTATTTTCTCCTCTTTGCTTCTATAAAAACCCAGAGAATTTGCAGTTATGGAGTAGGAAATATGTAAATATACAACAGTGTGGATATAAATTACATATATTCATAGAAAGCTCACCTGCTACGATCACACTATCGCAATCAATCCTACCATTTCTAACAAACATATTCAAATCCCATGTTCCATTCTTCCACCGTTCGTCCTCAAATTTCCTAGCTGAAGAAGATCCGGCCTTCAACATCTACGGTGACAACATTCATAACTTGCTTTGTCCCCAAAGAATAAGCTGGTTTGGCCTGTGCATGTTGCTTCCTGGCGACATGATGTGAACTGAAAGCTCTTTGTAAGGACGCGCATATGGCAATGGAAGACACTGTTCTTCAAAGGGAGTGTTGATGTTGCTTTTGTCTGTTCGTGCTCTGATGAGAGTACAGAATTATCCAGTATAGATTTGCACAAATGTCTTCTTTTTTCTCCAGAAATTTAATAGCATTATTCCGATAGAAAGATGGTACAAACAAAGGGCACTACGATTTCAATCTAGTGTCGTACTTTATACTACTGCTACTACAAAACAAGATATAAGGAGGATGGTTATGGTTCCACCTTTCCAATGTGTTACTGTTATCCACTAATGGCTCCCTCGGTAATGATCAGTGAACCTGCAATACAATTCTACGTTATTCCAATGTGTTTATCGTTCATCCACTAATAACTACAGCGAAAGCAGAGATATAACAAAATAGGATTCCGTGTTTCACTCGACATTGATCAGTATCAATATATTGCAGAAATCTCTCGTATTAAATCACCAAAACATGATTAAGATATTCAATCAGCATAGCAGCGTTTCCACCTTATGACTGCAGTGCTATTAAAAAACAATATTCACAAACATAAGAACATTAACAACTCAATTTCATTACAAAAAAATTGTTTACCTCAAGAAATACACATCCCGCTACTTCAACATCAATGGATGGTCAATTTAAACTCTTTCCTGTGATGATCAAAGTGATATCATCAGAAAGAGGGGTCTTTAAAATCCTACACGAAAGGGTAGCAATATAATTTATTTTATAAGTAATCAACCGCCTAACTAATGTTAAGTTGATAATTTAGAGGGTACAAACTTACACGCTTCCTTTTTCTTCGATCAATTCCACTATTCCTCATATCATTTTTCACAAGAGCAGATCCAGAGGACAGGCCGTAAGGCATTGGAGAAGGTGCTGAAGCAGGAGCTGGAGGAGCAGTTGTGATAGCAATATTGCTAGCTGACAAGGGTGGCCGAGGTGGAGCAGAAGCAAGAGGCGGGGGTGCAGATGTAGGAACTTCTTCAGGAGGAGGCTTAGGCAAAATGAACTTCAACCGGTTGTTCCTATAGTTCTTCCAAAAGAAGAATTGCTGTCCATGTGCCACTTCCTATAAGTTTTAGGTACAAAAAGGAAAAGACATCTTAAAAGTGAACATGATTTCATATTGATATAAAATAATAACACATATTTCATTTAGTGACCATGAACATATTTATCAGGACAACAGGACCGGCAAGAAATAATAGATTCAAACCTTGTTGGCAGGATGTGCCATTGCATTTCGGAAATTCTCATTTTGAAGAAGTTCAAGGAAATACAGACAATGGGGATACCTGCAATCACATTTTTTCTTATATTACACATCATTTATCCTGCAGTAAAATTTATGTCAGATTTAAGGAATTCAAGCCTAAGGTATCAGATGGCAAGCTCTCAAGTTGCTGACATGATAAATTTTATGTACTCTGGTCGTTGCCAATATTGAAGATATTTCAAGTATCCGATAAAGGCCTCGTCATCGAAATATCGATTTTGAGCCAAATCTGCATCACGAATTAATTGAGCCAATATTAACGAGGAACAGATCCAGTTGACAAATTCAACTAGTGAATGAAAAGCAAGTAAAAAAGAATGAAACATAAAGAACAAGACAGCTAGTGAATAAGACTAATCAAAATTCGACACAATGAACATCCAAATATATCCAATTCGTAAAAGTGTTCGAGCATTAATTCAGGAATTTAACAGCAGAAACAACCAACGCATTACACTAGAGCAAGTCGCACTCCAATCCCAATTCAGAAGGAACTCAGAACTTACAGTGGATGTAAGTAGGATTAGCAAGGCACTGAACGAACTCCAATTCGAGTAAGAATCGTTGCCGCCCATCATCTGGATCCTTGTACACGTTTTTCGGCCTGAAAATTCATTCATTCATGCAAAGTATATATCACATTAAGAATTTTTGTTAAGAGAGAAATAAATTATAGCATAAGAGATAGAAGCTTACGAAGGAGTATCGGTAGCGTTGTCACATTCTTTAGTGGAAGCCATTGAAGCGTTCACTCGAATATAAAAAGGGATATTTCAAACTTCAGCTACGATTGATCCAGTTGATCAATACCATGGTTAAATCAAAGAATCCATGAATGACTCCAAAATTCTAACCTAACGATTGCATACAAATTCAAGAGATTCAACAAAGCTGGGATTGGAGTCGAAGTTAGGGGAATACAATGGTTCCCTTAAGAGGAGTATGTAAAGGTGGAGCAAATCTAGAATATGCAATTCAGAGAAGCTGGACAAGGCTAGGATGTCAATGGGGGCGACATATAAACTTTGTTTCTATATAATTTTGTTTTCTGAATTTTCTAAATTCGTATTTAAATAATATATTTATTTTTTAAAAACGAAAACAGCTAAAATAAGGTCATATATAATAGGAGTATGAATAACAATTTTCTTTTATATTTTCTTAAAAAAATAATTTATAAATATATTATATGAAATAAGTTTTGATCTTGAATATAACGAAGATTAAATGGGTCTTGAGATTCAAACAAGCGATGGGGCATAGATAATTTTAATCTCACATATCGTGAAACATGATAATTTTGGGATTTATATCAGCTACAGATTATAATGTAAAAATGAGAATAAAATTTAGAGAAAATCGCCTCAGTGACCAAAAAAAAGTTATAATATACGATTTTAACCAACTTTTTTTGGATTTGCCAAAATGACCAACAAAATCACAACGCGAAATAAAAATCGCAACGCGATCCACAGAATCGCAAATCAGTTTCCAAAATCGCAACGCGATTCTTGAAAATCGCAATGCGATAGTACAAATTCGCATTGCGATTTTCCAAAATCGCAACGCGAATATGAAAATCGCAACGCGAACACATAAATCGCAACGCGTATCCGTAAATCGCAACGTGTATCCGTATATCGCAACGCGTATCCGTAAATCGCAACGATAATACATAAAATCGCAACGCGTATCCGTAAATCGCAACGCGATATTTAAAGCGCCATTATAATCGCTACGCGTATTTTATTTTCAAATTACAAAAACGAATATTAAGACAAAATCCCGTAATCGCAACTCATAACCTAAAACCTAAAATCACAACTCAGTCCCATCTCCATCTCTCACTCTCTACGGGGAAGAAATCCGTCCCCATCTCCGAAGATTTCCGTCCCCATCTCCGGCGAAATCCCTCACAACCATTCACGGTCAGAAATCCCTCACAATATTCAGAAATGGAAAATCAACCTCCGAGGGTTAGTTTTTTTAATTATTTTTATTTTGAAATGTTTGCATTATTGTAGGTTTTTCATATTGAAACTGATGATAAGTTTACTGGTCATTTCAATAATAGATTAACCATTTCACTTAGATTTCATTTCGCGTTACGATTCTGTCGTTGCGATTTTCATTTCGCGTTGCTATTCTCTCGTTGCGATTTTCAAGTTAGTATTTGTCTTTGTCTTTGTTCTGTCTTTTGGTTGAAGTAATGCAATCCATTCAAGTTTCAATTTGCAGAAGAGTCGCAACGAGATAAATGAAAATCGCAACGAGAGAATGACTGTCGCAACGAGAGAAATGAAAATCGCAACGCGAAATGAAAATCGCAACGAAAGAATCGCAACGCGAAACCAAAATCGCATTGCGATTTTCATTTCGCGTTGCGATTCTCTCGTTGCGATTTTCATTTCGCGTTGCGATTCTCTCGTTGCGATTTTCATTTCAACCAAAAGACAAAACAGTGTTGCAAATTTTAGTTTCAAGAATAAACTACTACTTTTTATGTTTATTGTTTTTGGTATATCTTCACAGTGTAGTTTTTGGTATATCTAACTTGGTATGTTTATTGTTTTTGTAGAAATTTTTTTCGGCTCAATTGACCTTGAGAAATAAAGTCAGCCTGGCCACTACAATTGCTTCGAAGCTTTCACCTGCTCAAAGACAATTGTTTGAGGAAACCTGCTTCGGGCCATGGCTGAGAGTACAGCATCCGGGTGAAGATGCTAATTTGACCCATTTGTGGCTTCAGACCATGACATCAAATCTACCCGACAGTATACAACGTGGTGAGGAAGAGATATGGTTTCATTTTCCACCAGCGTATACTTGTTTTGGGCGGAAGGAGTTATGCTTAATCACTGGTCTACGATTCGGACACGATGATGTAGGCCGGTACACTCGTCATATCGCCCGCCCATCATGGTTATCCCGGGTTTTTCCGGATGAGTCAATGGAGAAGCCGAACCTACATGTCGACGACCTGAAGAAATTGTTTAATAAGAAAGCTGGTTTCACTCGGATGGATGACGTCGATGTTATCCGAGTATGCCTTCTACTACTTGTGTATGCCGGCTTTTTAGGCAGAGAGGCCAGACAACCTATTCATCGGGAGCTAATAATATTGGTAGAGGACCTGAATGCATGGAATCTGTTTCCGTGGGGTTCGTATATATGGAAAGCTACCTGGACTAAGTTGTCGTCTGCCTTTGATGACCGCAAAAGTTTGCGGGGCGATGGGTCCAAATACACTTTGTCAGGCTTTGTTTGGGCCTTTAAGGTAAGAATTTCTATATAATGTTTCTAAAATTATAATTAATTATTTAACAATTACTAATTTTGTTATTATATTGTTTGTAGATTTGGATATTCGAGGCTTTCCCCAGCATGCGTACATATGCAATAAAAACGTCAAATGATATTCCCAGGGCTATTTCCTGGAAGAGGAAAACTCTGTTGGATTGGGAAGACTTAATACCATATGCGACAATAAATAATGTAAGTTAACACAAATACTTTCATATAATATATAAACAAGTTATTAATAGTAGACGTTTAACTTTGTTTGAGTTTTTATATTTTAGGAGGCCAACATTCCATTACAAAGACTGACACCCACGGAGGAAGAGCTTGCCACTGATTGGTGGCAAGCTAGTCAGAGTTTTTTTGATGGCACGGATGATGAGCAGCATCCACTTCCTCCAATTCGAGAGCCATCACCTCACCTAGAGCCATCACCCGATCGACCCGACTATACACCTCTAGAACGAAAGCCATCACCTATCCCGTCACATCATCGAGCCTCTTCTCCACCATCACCTCATGATAGGCGACCGGCAAAGATGCCACGACTCCTATCTCCCTGTTCTCCACCTCCACCTCAACGGGATGAGTCAAGGGAGTTACGTGATGAGGTCAATGCCTTGCGTGAGGAGATTGGTACTCTACGCGATAACGATGGTGCATGGCGTGTGGAGGTGTCAACTTTACGTGGTGAGGTTGCCGCTCTACGTGAGATGATAGTATCGTTGCAGAATGAGGTTCATACTCTACGCAACGAGGTAAGTTTAAGATTTTCCATATTTAACTTAATGATAAATTTACTCGTAATTTCACTTAGATTAGCCATTTCACTTAGATTGCTTAGTAAATTTATTCGGTTGCTGCCAATTCTGCTAAACTGTGTATTCTTTAACACTGTGAAATAGTATTTGTCTTTGTTTTGTCTTTTGGTTGAAAGTAAATTTGTTCGGTTGCTGCCAATTCTGCTAAACTGTGTATTCTTTAACACTGTGAAATAGTATTTGTCTTTGTTTTGTCTTTTGGTTGAAAGTAAATTTGTTCGGTTGCTGCCAATTCTGCTAAACTGTGTATTCTTTAACACTGTGAAATAGTATTTGTCTTTGTTTTGTCTTTTGGTTGAAAGTAAATTTGTTCGGTTGCTGCCAATTCTGCTAAACTGTGTATTCTTTAACACTGTGAAATAGTATTTGTCTTTGTTTTGTCTTTTGGTTGAAAGTAAATTTGTTCGGTTGCTGCCAATTCTGCTAAACTGTGTATTCTTTAACACTGTGAAATAGTATTTGTCTTTGTTTTGTCTTTTGGTTGAAAGTAAATTTGTTCGGTTGCTGCCAATTCTGCTAAACTGTGTATTCTTTAACACTGTGAAATAGTATTTGTCTTTGTTTTGTCTTTTGGTTGAAAGTAAATTTGTTCGGTTGCTGCCAATTCTGCTAAACTGTGTATTCTTTAACACTGTGAAATAGTATTTGTCTTTGTTTTGTCTTTTGGTTGAAAGTAAATTTGTTCGGTTGCTGCCAATTCTGCTAAACTGTGTATTCTTTAACACTGTGAAATAGTATTTGTCTTTGTTTTGTCTTTTGGTTGAAAGTAAATTTGTTCGGTTGCTGCCAATTCTGCTAAACTGTGTATTCTTTAACACTGTGAAATAGTATTTGTCTTTGTTTTGTCTTTTGGTTGAAGTAATGCAATCCATTCAAGTTTCAATTTGCAGAAGAAGAAATAGTTTACTTTCGCAACACGAAACTTAAAATCGCAACGCGAAACCAAAATCGCAACGCGAAATGAAAATCGCAACGACAGAATCGCAACGCGAAACCAAAATCGCAACGACAAGATCGCAACGCGAAACCAAAATCGCATTGCGATTTTCATTTCGCGTTGCGATTCTTTCGTTGCGATTTTCATTTCGCATTGCGATTCTGTCGTTGCGATTTTCATTTCGCGTTGCGATTTTGGTTTCGCGTTGCGATTTTAAGTTTCGTGTTGCGAAAGTAAACTATTTCTTCTTCTGCAAATTGAAACTTGAATGGATTGCATTACTTCAACCAATAGACAAAACAAAGACAAATACTAACTTCAGGGTATTAGTTTGAAACATATTTTTCTTTGTTATCTGATGCATTTTGTGAACTATGATAGAATAATGACTTGGGTGAATACAATGCAAGTTTGAAACATATTTGTCTTTGTTTTCACTGTTTAAATATCATGTCTGTTTATTTACTGATTTTTGTATTTAATTATTTAGCGGCCCGATAGAGTGGATGCTTTATGTCGGGTTATGCTTGCACGACGGAGTTCACGCATCAGACAGCGTGCACGTACTATTAAGTCTCCGTACACCCCAATAGTGCGAAGACACCGCAAGAAGAAGCCCGACTCGCCTGTCATCCCTCAAGAGTCCACTCCTATCGTTGAAGAGGCCCCCCTATCATTCCTCGAGAGTCCCCTCCCACCGTTCAAGAGGCCACTGTCATCATTGAAGAGGTCCCTCCCACCATTCAAGAGCCCGATTCACATGGCGTCATATGTAGGCTTCTTGAGAAACCCTCTGA